ATAGCTTTCTGGGCCCATCAAAGGGTTCTCTTTAGGATGTTGTGTGTTAATAACTACTATAATGAGAGAAACTTTTTAGAAAGTTATTTTGCTACTTTGGGGGTGGGTGGAAGGGGAGGAGGTTCTGTGACAGTGCTCTCCTTGCCTCAGAAAGCTGAGCCTACATTTTGACCTGACTTAACACCTGCTGAGATTTCCAGGCCTGGTCATCTGAAATGTAAGAGTTAATGTATTTATGTACATGATTCTTGCTCCTTTTATAGATTTTTCCAAAAGCTTATGCACAACTTTACTCAAATTTAACTTGGCTCACGTGTACTTGCTAGGATGAAGCAAGTGCCAAGGCACGGTAAGAGAAATGTTGCCAACCTGTCTACCTGGAACTGAAATGGGATCACCAAACTGAAGGAGTATCAAATGGCAACTATTTCTACCTGCTTCTGTCCTGAGCCTCACCTTAGCCTAGCTATGAAAAATCTATTTCCTATGGGCTCTCTAGGCCTACCTACCCCAATTCAACAGATGTTCTCCCCCCCCCTCCCCCCCCCAAATCACTGGTCTCAAAATTAGTTGTGCATCAGCTGTCTGTGTTAATATCCAAGTGGCCATACTTACAACATGTTTTTTCCTGGATAGTGGATTAGCAATAACACTTCATTTTGTGCCAATTCATTATCTTTGAAGTGTTCTTACTGCAGCAAAGTTTGAGTTTTGATCTGGTTTTAATGCTTTTGCATTAGCCAAAACTCTTAACACAGACATAGACAAGAAACTGAATCCAGGGAATTTCCCTGGATAAAACATCTGCTAGGGCTTCCCAAATCATTTGAAGATGGTTACAGTTAACCATCATTTTTAAAACAAACATACAATTAAAATGTGTGTGTATTTTTTTAACCTCCTTTTCATAACACTAGCTTATTGTAAACTGCATGAAATAAACCTGTTTTTTCCCTTTTAAAGTCTGATGTCTTAAATCTTTCTTTTCTAAATCCATTAATGTTGACATTAACAGTGTAATATCACTGATATGCCTAGATTAGCACTTCAGATATAAAATATAGTTGCATTTTTTTGCAGTGATTCAAAGCAGTAATACTTTTTCCTTTGTAAAGGAGACGTATCCTTTTCTGCTGTCCCAAAGACTGTGTCACAAAAAAATCGTGTTTATTCAGATATATATATGCTGGGAAATTAAGGTATTTCCCTTTGTGTTTACTATGACTGTTGCTGACCATTATAGTAGGACAGTCGCCTCTGGTATGGATATATAATCACACAAAAAAACATGTACCAAGTTTTAACTAATCACTTTGCATACATTTTCTTTCACGCAACTCACAAATCACCCTGCCTAACATCACAGATTTATTTTAGAATCCAGTACTTTGCTTTTTAATATAAATGCTTCTTTTGTCTGAAAAATTAAGCTAACTGAAATTGACACTTTGTAATAAGGCCAACATATAGTATAAGAAATGTAAATAAGAAGTCACTTAGTACGTTTGCTGCAAAAGTTTTAAAGATAGAAATGGCTGAAGGAAGTAAATGATTAGGTAGCCACTACAGGTTGCTGAAATTATTCAGGCAGTTTGACAGCCGTGCCCTGTACAAGTACAGAAGAGTTCATAATTCAGTATTAGTATTGAGAAGACCACTGGACTGCTCTTATTTTCCAAACTGCTAGTAAGAATTAAGTATGAGAAGCTAAGACCTGTGAGCTCTAAGATCTTAGAGGCTATGCAGTTACTTATGAGGTGAATTTCATCTTAACAGTTTAATCAGTTTTAAATGCAAAGCACATTCTAATCTTTCCTTATATATCCAGCAGCTTTAGTAAAATGGTATCATTTCACTAAACTGATTTCCTGCATTTTAATTGCATTTGAATTTTACTAAAATAAGTCCTAAGTACAAACATTGCTCTAGTAGAATTAACTAATCAACGTGTGCATCTACATTTTTATCACTGTCTTACTAGAAGTATTTGCACTTTACAGTCAACCAGAATTACTTTCAATCCAAATTCCTACTATATGTATCTAGCTTCAAGTGTCTTAACCAGTTAGCAAAAGTGAGAGCATAAAAGGGACAACTGTGTACCCTGAACCAGAAACCAGTTAATAAATGGGACATAAACAAGTAAGTCATTAACATCCTGTTTGGATCTTTTATAACATTTAGAGTTTATTTGGAGCTAGCTTTCCTTTCAGTGGGAAGTTTCACTTCAGAAAGATGAAAATGACCCTGCAAATTCATCTTTCAGTGTGCTGAAGTCTTCGCCTGGCAGTCATAAACACATAGTCCATATTCATGTGATGTTCTCTGGGACTGCAGTCTGTACAATTTCATGAGACGTTCTCTGGGACTGCAGTCTGTACAATTTCATGAGATAAATCCTGTGAGCGGTGTGTTAACAGTTTCCCCTAAACCCCACTGCTTTTGGTAATGTCACTGGAATTGCTGGGAAAGACACACAGGGGAGTACGTGTTTGTCCTGGTTCTACTGTGGGCATTTGCTACTGGTGAAAGATTTCTTAGCTAGAGTGATCTTTAGTCCAATTTGGCATAGCCACTATTGTACTTTAACAGCCCTGCTGAAAGTCTCTATTCCAAATAGGTGCAAAGACACCACCAGACCTTCCAAACGTATTTTCACCAAGTAACATGCAACTGGTGTTTTCATTAAGATCTTTGAAACTCCCCTCTTTCCCCAAGTCATTTGTGACTGTCAGGATGTTTTCTGTACACACAGCTGCTAACTTGTCCTCCATCTCTTCTCCAGCACTTACTAGTTAAAAGGAATAAAGAAATTAAGGCAGATGCTGCCATAGGTATCCATGCATTAGGAAAAGAGAAAGCTGGGCAGGAGCGAGGGCCCACAGGAAGGCAGGTGTCCTATTTTACATCCTTATGATACGTAATTGGCTAAAGCACAAATGTGAACAGGAACCATTCATTCCAAGAGAACATAATTACTGTTAAATAACTCATTTGTGGAGAGAAGCTAAATGAGGACTTCATGAGAATAGGGCAAGTGGTCCAAGAATTTGGTTTGTTTATATGAAGATACAATCATTATTTAGCATTCTTAAACATTTCTGTGATACGACACTTTTTGCATTTCTCACTGCCATAGGAAGATGTTGAAACTGCCCACCTGCATGGGAGGAATTCGAGCCCAAGGCCAGCCTTCACCAGTAGAGGTGAATCCAAAGACTGAAGAGTCAATATCAACTCTTTCTCTACACCTGGTAGATGTGTGATTCCAAGCACAAACTCAGACCCATCCTGGAAAGAGAGGTTTCTTTGATGATGTATAGCTGTTGCAAATATGTCCGTGGAAGCTTTGGAAGCAGTTTGTCCTTTTCCATCTCTGCTGGCCATGAGGTCTCTTAAAAACATTAGCTAGTTGACACCCTTTTGAGATTTAAAACAAAGATCAGGCAGCACCCATTGCTTTGACAGCTCAATGGTTTTCTTAAGACCAGCCTAGAGAGGTAAAAACTAGAAAGAATACTCACCTTCTCCATCCTTTCTGTAGGAGTCAAAACCAAAATAAATTTAAACGAGAATATGAATTGTTCAGGGGAAAAAAAAGCCTGAGAAGAGCTATAACAGATGACTCAGCTCATCCCCTTGGCTAAAAGCAGGAGCGGCTACAATTAAAAGACATCTTGCTTAACTTACCTTTAAAGCCCCAAGTGATGAAGGCTCCATACCTGTGCTCCCCGCGTTAGGCAGCCTAGGGTTGTAGCGTCTTTGCCAGTAGAAGGATTTTTTTGATACCTCACCTCCATTTTTCTTACTGCAGTTTAAACTGATGACATCTTGCCCCCTCCATTACCGACACGAATTGTAGATTATTGCCTCACCCTGTGCAACAGCCTTTCATTTTCTCAAAGGCGGTTGAAAGCTCCATGTTGTGTACATCATGTTTCAAGCAATACAAAAAGCAAAAAAATTAACAAAATTTTAAGTGGGAATTTTAAAAGCCAAATAGAACAAAGTATAAACAAAAATGTCCAGCAATGCTTAGATTCATTCTGTCAGCTCTAGGTGCCAGTTGTAACTAAACCCCAGTTGCCTGGGGTTATGAAGAAACAGAATTCCTCCGGCAGGCATTTTAATGTGCCTAAGATGAATTGCTCTTGCAGGTGCCTGCTCACTAGGTGGGCTGTTGGGCAACGAGGTTCCTGACTTCAGTACCTATTTTGATTAGGGCTGATTCAAATCTAAGTGATTATTTATTGAAATAGTTAATTCTAGAGCTCCCGAGAAACCATTTTGAACTTTAATACTACATAGAACATAGTTCAAGAAACATTAAGAAACACAGACTAGTGCAAGGCATGGCTAAGCCGAGGTTTCAGGACTGAAATTTCTTACGTTTCATTAAAATTAGAAAAGTAAGTCAAAGGTGAGAACAGAATGTGATTCATTCCCTATATGCCACTAAAAATGCATTCTTAGAAACCAAAACCAAGAAAAAAACAAAAAAAAGCCACAAAAAAAAAATCCAATGAGAAACAAAACCCACAGAGCATAACGCATGCTGCCTCTTAAAAATCAGGTTAAACAAAAGCAAATTGGGGCCAAACGCACAACTAAAGACCGCACCAGAGGAAGCCACTGTCAGTCTCCGCGCTTTCCAGCGCCCCACGGAGCCGGGGACAGCCCCAGGCCGACGGTCAAGAAGGGCGGTCGCTTACGGCACGGCCGCCGGCGGCAGCAGCAGTCCTCCGCTGCGGCTCCTCAACCCGCCCCGACCTT